AAGTCCCACACAGCTCGCAACAAAGCGCGCAGCGCGGGAGCGCCCGCTCAAACTTGGCTCTTCGGATCTTGATCTGGTCCTGCAGGAACTGCGTCGCCGGGAGCGCAGCTGACAATCACTGGGCTCGGAACAAAAATTCAAAGAACTCTTCGCGCGCGCGCTCGGGCGTGTCAAAACGTGTCTCCAGGCATCCGGCTGCGAAATTCCAATCCGGCCAGATTCTGCTATTATTCTGGTTTCGTGCTGCGTTTTGGGGCTGGATGACCCGCCCTGGTGGGCGCCCGTGGCTGAAGAACTGGTCTTGTGCATTATGGTGCAGATGCGAGGTGTCTTGAAGCATGCTGACGGACACGCGCTAACACTGCTCCAGGAAATTGTAACTATGTAGTATAACTTGGTTCGGCATGTGGGCGTGGACCAGAACACCTACTCCGCTGAGCTAATGACAATTGTGTGTACAGTCTTGCACAGCCTGCAGGAGTCAGAGAACATGGTGGAAGCTGTCTTTTACCCGCAGCTGCCACCTTTGTCCATGCGAACGCATCCTCTGCCATTTCGCACAAAATTCAGGCTCGCTGGGGGAGGTTGGAATAGGACCTCCGCGCTGGCCCTGGAGTCAAAGCTCCAACAGTGCATGCGGGTCTTGAGCTTGTGCGATCGCCATGCTGCTGCACACACTGGTGTGGAGTCTCTGCTCCTCGAGTGGAAAGCAGTGACCGATGATATGTTGCTGTGCGTGCAAGGGCTTCTCGCAGAGCCAGCACCTTCCCTCGACCCTCCGTGAACAAAAGAGACACCAGCTGACAACAGATTGCCGTCTTGCGAGTGCTTGCATGTTCTTGAATAATGCACACACTTGCAGTTGAGAATTGAGTCCTTCCATAATCGCCGTGACACATACATGCTGCTGCTGTTTGGGCTTCGCAGGGAGGGGGAGGGGATGGGGGCAGCCAAGAGCAGCAACCGCAGGTAGGCACATGCCCATGCAGGATTCATGCAGGCAGGCAAGCGCGCAATCTAAGCCCGCGACGGGCCATGCCTCCAAAACGCAATGGCCCGAAGACTTGCAGCCTCTGCGGGTCACGCACACACAACGTGCGCAAGTGCGGCAGAGCGCTACAGGGAAGCGCTTCAGCAACTGCGGTCTTCAAAGAGACCTGGCCATGGCCGCAAATTGCGGGGGAACGGACTTGCTGCCAGTCGAAAGCCTGGTCGCAAAGTGCAGAACTCGACCTCTGTTAAGAAGCAGCAGAATGGTTGAAGTGAACCATGAAGCCCGGTGCGATCGCCAGAGCTCTGCGCCCAACCCAGCAGATTTGCTCCGCCCAGAAGATGCG